AGGGAAAGAAAATGAACAGAAATAAAGTTTACATTTTGTACTGATAAGTCCAGCTGCATGAAAAGATTGGACGGAAAGAATCCACATGATAGTAAAAGATAATCACAGTAGTGTTTGCTCTAGCTATTGACAAGCTCTTGGTTCATTATTTGAAAGAAGGGGCCAAAAGTGTTTTTGTGGATTTGATGTTAAGCTGAAAGTAGCATTTGGATAACACCAGACAATATAAAATCTTAGTTTTTATTCGCCATTTTCTTGGTGTCATAAAGTGTTGTTTTTTAGTCAGTCATGTCCGACTCTTTTGCAACCCCATGGCCTGTAGCCCACCAGGCTCCTCTGTCCATGGGATTTCCCAGGCAACAATACTGGAGCGGGGCCATTTCCTTCTCCAGGGGATCTTCCCAACCCAGGGATCAAGTCCTCGTCTCCTGGATTGGCAGGCAGATTCTTTACCACAGAGCCACCAGGTGTCATAAATGCTTCTTTTTAAAATAAGTTACAATTTTTCAGTGATCAAAATTCAAACTCGCATCTCTCTGGGATTGGTGTGAGCACACTTTTTTTTCCCCTTGTAAGGAACGTGTGCCAAAGCAAGTGGAGACCAGTATATGCTTCATCAGTGAATAGGGGAAGGTAACACTTTGGGCTTCCCCTGGTGCCTCAGATGGTAAAGAATCTGCCTGGAGAGCAGGAAACCTAGGTTCGATCTCTGCCTTGAGACAGTTCCCTGGAGAAGGGAATGGCCACCCACTCCAGTATTTTTGCCTGGAGAATTCCATGGACAGAGCCTGGGGTTGCAAAGAGTTGGGTATGACTGAACGACTAACACTTTTCAGGGAAAAATAACTAGTTTGAATCCTATTATTAATGTCTTCACAAGAGTGACTTCCTGCCTTTGTATATTACCTGATTTTGTACTATGCTTATGTTAGTATCTTTAGTTTTGCTCCAAAGTCCATTTAACTGAAAGTCAGCTTCTGTCGCTGAGTAGGGAAGATCCACTGAAGAAGGTCATGGTAACCCACTCCAGTATTCTTACCTGGAGAATTCCATGGACAGAGGCACATGGTGGACTACAGTCCATGGGATCACAAGGAGTCAGACACAACTGAAGTGACTTTGCACATATGCACACATTTTACGAAAGTTAATCAGACACATTGGTTTTTCCTATCTTGCTTCTGCCCCATGGCTTATAAAGTTAATATTGGTTTATTAGAAACTTAAATAAGAAGTTTTAAAAGAAAATTTCACTGGCAGGAGAACCCAGATTTTATGCCTAGTCCTAAGTATTTTACATGCATTACCTATTAATAATTCATTTCTCACATTTTGTTTTTTCATTATACAGTTGAACAATTTGAAGTTTAGAGTAATTTTCAAGGTCACCCTTGAGGCAGATCCAGGATAAAGATACCAACTCAGACATTTTAATTGAAATATAACAACAATGTTGGTCTATACTGGTCATTAATATTTTCAGAACATTATGTTTATAAAAGGACTCCTTAACAATCACTCACTACCAGCACAGTTTTAAAATAATATTGTAAAAGCAGAGCAATATGACTGATACCATCTTCCCAAGAAGTCAGGAACAATGTGGATGGACCTAAAGACTGTCATACACAGTGAAGTAAGAAAGAGAAGAACAGATACTGTTTATTAGTGCATATATGTGGAATCCAAAAAAATTGGTGAAGTCGATCTTATTTCCTAAGCAGAAATAGAGACATAGATATAGAGAACAAATGTATGGAGATGAAGAGGAGAAAGGGGGTGGATGAAGTGGGAGATTGGGATTGACACATATACACTGTTAATCTCCTGGAGAAGGAAATAGTGACCCGCTCCAGTATTCTTGCCTGGGAAATCCCACGGACAGAGGAGCCCAGCCCATGGGATTGCAAAGAGTTGGTCATGACTGAGCACACACGCACGCCTGTATATCTACAGCTGATCCACTTTACAGTGGATACTAACACATTGTAAAGCAATTATACTCTGATAAAAAACAAAAATTCTACATTATAAAAAGGAAAGAGTTACATGGAACGAGGTTTCTTTCCTCCTTGACATATACTGTATTTAGCTTAATTTACATTTTCTTTTCTGATACTCTTGTGTAAGAGAACTATTATATTTAAGTTACTAATTTTTATTGTCAAGTATGTTACTAAAATTAAGCATACTATTCAGATATAGTATTTACATCATTATGCTATGCAAACTTCAAATAAGATATAGTAATTAATTTTCTGATAATTTTTAAGACCCATTCTTTTTGGTTCATATGCTCTATGAAGTAAGTTCAATTGACTGGACAAGAAAAAGTGTTTATATTAATGGTTTGTCAAAATAGATCTCCATGGGAAAAAAAGATATATATCCTATATCAAAAAGCATGCAGATTTTCTCCATTGCACTTGTAAGTGAAGTGAAGTGAAGTGAAGTCGCTCAATCCTGTCCGACTCTTTGCAACCCCATGGACTGTAGCCTACAAGGCTCCTCTGTCCATGGAATTTTCCAGGCAAGAGTACTGGAGTGGGTTGCCATTTCCAAGTTAAATAAATATTTAGGATTAAATTTCCATGAGTTGCTGACATTCCTCTGGTCAGAGTTAATAAAAATCACAGGTGGAAAGAATATAAATGAACATCATGCTTGCAAAGCTGTAAAGGAATTACTCAGTGTTCCTTCTTCCAAAGTATTTTCAAAGTACATGCATCAGTTAAATACATATATTAAAGACTAGCTTAAAATGGTGAGCTTAGTTAGATTTTAATTGTGTTAAGCATTGCTTTAGGTAACCCTGTAAATGAAAAATACCCTCCAAGGTCAGCACTTAAGACCTCTAGAGTGCTTGCTTGTTCTTTTATTTGTGTGTTTGCTTTTCTGACTTTTATATGTGCCAGTAATGTCTCTTGCACTTTGCAAGAGACATTTGCACTCTTTGCACTAGACAAAATGTGTTCTCACAGTTTGAATGTGTAAACATTTTTTTGGTTTTGTTCATTTCATTTTGTTTGCTGTTTTGTTACACTTGATATCCCCATTGCCTAAATCAGTGCATAGTGTCTGCACTGTGGCTGTAATCCAGGCAAACTTCCTCGCAGTTGTCACATACATCTGGGCATCTTATTCTGTGTTATAGTCAGATATTTCAGTCAGTCACATAAATGTTGATTTTTAATTACTTTAATGGTCAACATTTAACTGTGATCACCAGTAAAAACTTTTATAAAACTTTCCACTAGGTTTTCTTCCTGTCTTTTGGTAAGTTATTATATGATGGAAAAGCCATGGACCTTGGAGGTCAAACCCAAGTTGCTCTCCAAATTTCACCAGTTACTAGTTGTGTGATCTTAATTTAGTTAATTTCTCTAAATCTCAGTTTCCTCGTTTGGAAGATAGAATGATAATATCTATTTTATATAGTTATTAGGAAGATAACGATGGGATTATCTATATGAAGCATCCTGTCAAATGTCCAGCAAATAACTAAGTATCGATAGTATAGTGAATATGAGATCAGGATCTGAAATCACACAGACCTAATTTCAAATCTCAGATTTTATACACAGCAGATGTGAAAACCTAAGCAATTTTTCACCTCTGTTTAGTCTCAGTTACCTTATTGATTAAGTGGCTGTAATAAAAATACCTTTGTTATGACTGTTAGAATTAAATGAGATATTGCATGTAGAACTTGTGTTAAACACAAAATGAGTGCTTAATAAATGGTAGTTGTTATTAGTACTTGGAATTGTTGTATTTAGTATTATCTATGCTGCTATAGTTATTGGAATAATAAAACCTTCATTTCTGTGATATGAAAGTCTTAGTTTCTAGTCAGACTTAAGGTAATATCAAATACATTGCTTATAGTATTTGTATTGCTACACTGTTGTCAATATAGTAATATTTAATAAAATAGAAGATATGTGATAGTATTCCTCATAAGCTATAATGTAAATAAACCACACACGGCTATTTTTTAGTTGGTTTGCTTGAAGCTGTTGTTGAAAAATTTATCCAGATGCACCTCTGAATGAGGCAGCTGCACTATGAAGGATTGAGAGATCAGAGATGGAGACACAGGTAGCTTAGACTGACGTGCCAAGAGCAGTCTCTGTGTGAAAGTGCCAAGACAGAATTGATAGCAATACACACAAGACTCTGCATGTGTCGAGAAGATCACAGGACTCAGTTGATCCGGTTCCTAGTTTTATGGAAGAGGGGATATTGAATATCTGAGAGATTGGGTGACATGCCCAGGGTTAAGGACAAGAAGGAATAATGTCCTGACTTCTAGGTAAATACTCTTTCCATTAAAGCCAAACTACTGTAATCAGGTTTTCAGAAGCAAAATAATCCTGCATGGAGATTTTTGTCAAATTTCTATAACTGATTGGTATCAACTAATACAGTTCTTACCAGGTATAGGAAGCTATATCTTTCTCAGTAGGATGACACAATTTTAATAATTATGTTTTGAAAAAATCAGTTTAAAATAAATGTATTTATAGAGCTATCTCCTTAATTTAAAAACTTTGATAGTGTAGAAAAGAGTCATACTAACTTTTGATTGGTCATTTTTCATTTAAAGGATGTAGAGTCATTAATCTTAGTTCCTCTAATCTGTGCCTTACACTATACTAAGTACATTTTATGGAGGCTCTGGAAGAATCATTACAGTTTGTGTATGTTTTTGTGGTAAACCTTTTAACAAATTATACTAAGTGTACTTCTGATAGTAGGTTGCTTTCTACAGTTGACAGTGACATCAGCCACCAGCGCCTCATCTGCTACTTCTAGTTAACTAATAATTGTTTTATTCAAAAGTAACTAATTATTTTGTTCCAAAACCATAAATAGGAGCTTAATTCATAGCTTTATCCATTGTTAATCTTCAAGGTATAGAATTATACAAAGAAAAAGCTGCCAAAACCCTGCTTTTCCCCAGATTGTAATTTTTGCTTCTCTGTCTTGTTTTATAGAGCTACATTCATGGGAGCAGCCAGGTCCAATTCGTGGCAGAGTCACACATTATTCTGGTACTAAGTATCCTTTAAAATACTGATGGGTTGATAAGAACAAAGCAGAGCTGCATGCTGTCAAACTGATTTTTTTCCTAACAAATAATCAAGACTTTTGAGACATTAAATTTGAAACTTTACCATGTGACTAATTTTCCAATTCCTATGCTATTTTCTCTTACCATGTAATTTTTAAAATTCTAAATCATTAATAGGTTATAATTTTCTCTTTTTTTTTACTGACTATTGAATTTTGAAGTATAGCTTTTGATTATCTCTGGCTAGAGTTTTTTGTGATGTCTGTATGGTTTTCCCCTTTAGAATCTTAATGGGGAAGGAAAAAAAGTGTTATATAAAAAGCAGGATAAAGAAATTATCTTAGTTCCCTTAAATGTTATAGTAAGAAGTGAGAAGAGGAAGATTTAGGATAATTAGACATCTTTTTGGAACATGGAAGACTAAATGTTATGAATCAGATAATACAGTACAATTTATGGTTTAGAGGTAGAAGGGTAAAGACAGCAGAATAGCAAAGAGGTACGATACATTTTTCAAAAAACAAATTACATATTACTAGAATGAAGTAAGGTTAATTTTGGGGCAAACAGCTGTACTTTGGGGGAACACTGACATTTGTGTGAGTCCTGTGGAAACATTTGTATGTTGTTTATAATATTGAATGTACTGAGTCATTGTCAGGATCTAAAGTGTGCCTTATAGTGTCATTTATAAAATTTGATTACTTTGCTGGTTACCAAGATTCATCTTCAGATAAAGCAGTCTAGACCCTGTTTTCTAGTATCTGATATAACCATAACTATTTAAACCTTTAAGGATTCTTAGAACTCTCCTAGAGCAAAACCTCATTTTATAGCTAGGAAAACTAAAACCCACAAAATTTAATTGCCTTGCCTTAGTTTGGAGAAAGAACTGTATTTTTTCCTAGACATACATACCTATGGTACAGGTTAACTTACAGACTAGGCATAGTAAGAGAATATCCGAACTGTCAGCATCACTACTCTTGTGCTTTGGGGCCACTGTTAAGTAAACAGCGACCCCACGACAGCTGATCTGGTAGCAGGATGGCTGCTGAGTGCCGACGGAACAGGTAGTGAACACAGTGTGGGCACTCTGGACAGAGGGACATCCGGATGGAACAGGGCAGAAAGCTGTGAGATTTCATCCTGCTGCTAGAATGGCATTTGAACTGTAAAACTTACGAATTATTTCTGAACTTTTCCATTTAATGTTTTTGGACTGTGGGTAACTGAAACCATAGAAAGTGAACCTGCAGGAAGGGGAAATAGGTATTGCAGGTAACTTTTTGGTTCTATAGTTTTTCCTTTTTCTTTTCTGTTTTCAACCCATGATGTAGCATTTTAGCAATATACTTCTTTCAAAGCAGCTATTAAAACATCAGAAATACCTAGCAAAAGGAATGAAAAGGTGTGTTGAGACCATCATTCCATTGTATGGCAGGAATTCTCCAAGGTTTCATTTCATGGCTCATTGACCGCAAGCCAAGATTTAGGACGCAAAGAAATTTTACAAACAGTATGAAGTCTTCCATGTAGATTTTTAACACTAAAATGTATTATCTTTCTGCTGCTAGTAACTATTTATTGCTTTATCGCTGCTGTTCTTTTTATTTGCCTGTATCTATGAAAAGAGAAAATGTCTTAGAATGGTGGGCTCATTAAAATCATCAATGAAAGTTCAGAAGAAGCCATTATATAATAATTTCTGATTTTACTTTTACTTGGCAGAATTTACTAATTTTTTAAAACTTACTTTATAATTTTTTTTTTTTTTTTGTAATTTGCGTGTATGTTTTTATGTCGTGGTTTAGTGGCTGAGTCATGTCTGACCCTTGCAACCCCATGGACTATAGCCCTCCAGGCTCCTCTGTCTATGGGATTCTCCAGGCAAGAATGCTGGAGTGGGTTGAAAAAATGCAAATTCCAGGTGGTAACTTCTTGTTTATCTTTGGAGAATATTTCTACCTTTTGGTTTTCTCTTCCTAATTTAGTAAGCCAGATCATTAGATGCAGTTGCTACATACAAAATTTTATTTTAAAAAAATCTAAGAACAAACAGATGGAGTCATTTGATGTCATAGGTTATAGAATGACATTTAGTAAAAATAAGCTTTTTCTCCCTGTTAGTAGTGTTTTATTTCAGTACCCTATTTAGGAGGAAAAAAAAATTCCTAAGTAGTCTTTGAGAGAAAGCTATTTTTAAAAATAATAAAAAATGTTGACATTTTAATAAGGAATATATGAACTAAAGCTAATGTATAATTCTCTTTATTTTTCCAAGTAAAATATTTTTAAAATTTTTCATTCAGTTATATTTTAACACCTGTTGTAAATATAAGATATTTGCTGTCTGCAATAAGGTAGGCTGATAGGAAAATAATTTTAATTAGTATGAGGCATCAAGAGGCAACTTGACACATGGAAAAGTTGAATTGACTTTTTAGCCAGGTTTTTATACAGTAGAAAAGGAGTTCTCCCCAGGTGGAGAATAAGTGAGTGAGAATATTCCAGTGGAAGGTGTATGAAAGAGTATTCACAGACTGTGCAGGGCAGACTGATGAAAGGTTAGTTGGCTGGATAGTAAATATCTTCCCATACCTTGCTAAGAAATTTGAATCGGATCTAAATTCATGAGGACATGTTCTGTGTGCTAGTGGAAACCAGACACACGAGTTCTCGGATTGGCTTTACTGTCAAGTATACAAATTCTGACCTGTCCCTTAACTCTGCACATCCTCTAAATTCTGGGATGTCAAGATGACATGAGATAAATATCAATTAGAAGTAAAGGTTCTGATATAAAAGGCAAAGGTTATACTAGCAGTAACAACTGTTTCTAAATATTTAAAAATACATGTGTTCTCATAAAGATCATATTTGCTTTTCCTATGAGAAAAACATTTGTTTTCCATCTATTATGAGAGTATAGTTTTACTCTGACTTATTTTCAATCAATGATAGACAGCAAATGTTTCTTTTAATGTGTTATATATCCAAGGAGAAACATACTACAGACAAAAAATTAATGATGGATACAAGTTGAAGTTATTTTAGATAAAGTCTTCTATAATGGGCTGACTTTTTCCCAACATTTGTTCACATTTATCTTTAAACTGACAATCCTGGGTCTCTTCTTAGGAGCCACAATAAACCTAACATCATTTGTGATTGAGAATGGATTATAATGTAATGCAAATGTATGTGCTACCAGTTCACTAGGATATTCATTTTCTGTGGATTTTGTTATTTACACAAACAGCAGCTCCTGTTTTATGTAGGATCATGTCAATATTTTGACTTAATTTTAACAGTAAGAAAGTGATTGACAGGATAAACAGGGGACTAGAGAGTGTATAGTAGCTGAAGTGTATAATGTTATGATATTAATCAATACAGATGTGCAAAGTTATACATGAAGTGGAACAAAGGTGTGTATCTGTGTGTTTGTGTCTATGTAGGCATAGTCATTAATCTCAGGACAATAGAAAGTCTCAGGAACATAACCATTTAGCTGGTATATATTAATATCTCTTAATCTCTAAATGTTGAGATTCTTTAATAAGGCTTAGTCAAATGGTTACACCCATCAGTTTAATGACAGAAAAGCATCTGTTATTCCAGAATTTGACACAGAATCTCTCAGAGATTTGTAGGCGCTTTCATTAATCAGTCAGCCTTCCACCCAATAAAGGAAGACCTACACATTAACTGTGACAGATGTTAGAGTCAAAGCTTCTTCCTGTGTTTATAGATCAGTACATAATCTAAAAATGTTTACATTACAAATGTGATTTTTTTTGCCCAAATGATAAGTATTTTGCAGGCTGTCTTTTACCAAAAATTATTTTCATTGACCAAATAGAACTTGGCCTAAATAATTCTCAACACTCAAAGTTTTTAAGCTCAAAAGTGTTTTTAGATAAAAGAAGAGGGTTGGCCAGTTTAAAGCCATTTTGTGTAATTCACGTATCTCAGTTACAGCCTTGAAGTTTAAAGTAGGTTCACAGCACTTTCCTTGGTAATGACTAGAAAACTGACTTTTGCAGGAAACATTCTAAGTAAAAAACTCACACTGTTCCTGACCCTGCTGCTCTGTAATAAAACATTTTACATTCAGCTTGTACATAATGCCTATATCTAGTAATCTCTTTGCTTTAAAGTTCCTACTTTGAGGTCATGTGCACAAGGATTTTTGTGTTTCTTTATTTTCACATAAGAGCAAAGCTAACTTCCTCTCAGACATAACAGTTTAGAGTATCTTTGGCACTGTCTCAGATCCTCTATAGCAGGGATTGGCAAACTAGGACCAGCAAGGTTCAATTCTAGCCTGACTGTATTTTTATAAATAAGTTTCATTGGAACACAGCCACACCTATTCATTTGTGTATTGTCTGATTACTTTGCACTACAGTAGCAGAATTAGTAGTAACAATACACCATACAGCGTGCATAGCCCCAAATATTTACATTCTGGGCCTTCACAGAAAAAGTTTGCAAACTACTAGTATGTAGAGTATAAATAATAGAAAGCAAAACCCCACAACCTTATTACCCCAAGACAGTTGCTTTTAACTTTTTATCTTTCTTTCCCTGAATTTCTCTTAATATTTGTAAAGAGATGTAATTATATTATTATGTGCATTTTCACTTGATATAAAATTTTATGCTTAGCATAAAGATATACATTGTTAAACAGATTTAACTATTTTGTTCCTTTGCTGTTCCCTCATCATTTTTTCTAACCCTGTTATCATCCTGCTTCAATTCTTCTATGTTCTTTTGGTTTGCACCTTTTACTCACTAGCTTTGTGGCTTTGCACAGGTTACTTGGATCTCTCTGACGGCTTCAGTTTCCTTATGTGTAAACTGAGGATAACAATCATGTATATCAAAGCCTAGTTGGTACTGGGGAAGATAGTGAACAAAATAAAGTAGGTAGTAACTTTAATAAAAGGTAGGCCCTTTGGGCACTAACACTGTAGTGACAAGAGAGAGACAGTAAATAAATAAAAAAAGATACAAGTTTTAATTTTCTTTTAAAAAATAATGTTAATAGAAAAAAATAAAGCAGGATAAGAGGTACAGTGTTCAAAGGAGGCTTCTCTACTGTCATTTGATCAAAAACCCAAGGGAAGTGAGGGAGTGAGTTACATGGACATTGAGGGGAATAGCATTCAGACAGAAATAGCAAGTGCAAAGATCCTGGGGCAGAGGGTTCTTGTTGAAAAAATACCAAGGACATGACTTAAGAGCCAACAAGGGCAGAGCAGTATAGGAATCTGGGTCAGGGTACAAAGGAGGTACCACCTGGAGGTCATTTTGAGCTCTTTAGATTATTAACTTTCCATCTCACTCTGAGTAAAGAGTTCTCTGAGGAAAAGAATGGCATTACCTGCCTTATGTTAAAGACATTAGAAAGTCCATTCTGCCCAAAGCAATCTACAGATTCAGTTCCATTCTTTTCAAACTACTAGTGCCATTTTTCACAAAACTAGAATAATTAAAATTTGCATGGAACTGCAAAAGACCCTATTAGCCAAAGCAGTCACGAGAAAGAACAACAAAGCTGTAGGTATCATACACCCTGATTTCACACTATAATAAAAAGCTATGTGGCTTCCTTGGTGGTCCAGTGGTTAAGAACTTCCCTTTCAGTGCAGGGGGTACACCAGCTCAGTTGCTGGTGTGCGAAGATCCCACACGCCACACAGCGACTGAGCCCTTGTGCCACAGCTACTGAGCCTGCAGTCTGCAGACCGTGAGCCCGCGTGCCGTAGCCGCTGAAGCCTGCACGGCCAGAGCACACGCTCCACGCTCCGCAGCAGGGAAGGCCCACACTCCGCAGCTGGAGTAGCCCCCGCTCTCCACAACCAGAGAAAGGCCCACACGGTGACGAAGACCCAGCGTAGCCCAAGGTAAATAGATGCTAAGGGTGGTTTAAGAAAAAAAACACTGTGGTAATAGAGACGGTATAGAGTCAGCACAAAAATGGACACACAGATCAACGGAACAGACTGAAGAGCCCAGATATAAACCCATGCGCTTATGGTCGATGAAGCTACAAAAAAGAAAGAATATGCAGTGGGGAAAATAACAGCCCCTTCAATAAATGGTATTGGGAAAAGTAGACAGCTACGTGCAGAAGAATGAAACTGGACCACTTCCTCACACCATATACAAAATAAACTCAAAATGAGTTAAAGACTTAAAGTTAAGACCCGAAATCATAAAATTCCTCAAAGAAGACACAGGCAGGATGTTCTTCGACATGGGTCTTGGCAATAATTTTTTGGCTCTGTCTCCTTAGGCAAGGCAAACAAAAGCAAATATAAACAAGTGAGACTACATCAAACTAAGAAGCTTTTTATACATTGGAAAAAAAGTCATCAACAAAATGAAATGGTAGCTTACTGAGTGGGAGAAGATATTTGCAGGTTATATATCCAATAAGCAGTTAATATCCAAATGCATAACTCATACAACTCAATATCAAGAAACAAAACAGTTTAGAAATAGAGGACTTGAGCAGACTAAACTCTTTTCTAAGGAAGACATAATTCCAACAGTCACATGGAAAGATGGCCTAAATCACTGATCATCAAGGAACTGCAAATAAAATCCAAGAAAGATACCGCCTTACACCTGTCAGAATGGCTGTCATCAAAATGACAACAAATAAACCTTGATGAGGATTGGAGGAATCTAATTTGGTACAGCCACTATGGAAAACAGTATGAAAGTTTCTAAAATAAATAAAAAATAGAACCAGCATATGATTCAGTAATTTTCTGAATATTTACTGGAAGAAAATGAAAACTAATTCAGAAGGATATATACACCTCTCTGTTCAGTGCAGCATTATTTACAGTAGCCAAGATATGGACACAACCAAAATGTCCATCAGTGGATGAACGGGTGAAGAAGACACGATGTACAGACACACATAAACACTCAACCATTAAAAGAAAACTCCTGACATTTGCAACAACATGAATGAATCTAAAAGGTATCATGGTAAGTGAAATAAGTTAGAGAAAGACAGGTACTTTATGATCTCACTTGTATGTGGAATCTAAAAAACAAATGAACAAACAACAAACCAGAAACAGATTCATAGATACAGAAAATGGGGTGGTTGCAAAGGGCAGCTGGGTGAGGGCTTGAGCAAAACAGATGAGGAGGTTCAAACTTACAGTTTTAAAGTAGTCATGGGGATGTAATATACAACATAAGGAGTATGGTTGATAATATTTAATAACTTTGTATGGGGCATATGGTTACTAGACTTCTGGTGCTTATTAGTTCCTAACGTATTTAAATGTTCACACACTTTATATTGTATACCTAAAACTAACAGAGTATTTCTAAGACTTAGGGGTAGGAGTTAATTTCATAAGTAAGAAACACTAACCAAAGCTCATAAAGGAAAAGAATATCAATTTTGACCATACTGAAATGACAACCTTCTGCATAAGTAAACAATTTAAAAGACAAGTAGAAGAATCTGTATGTAACACTTCAAAACATTCATATCCAGAAAAAACTGAAGCATCTTCTAAGTTAATAACAAAAGGCAAATATACTTATGGGAAAATGGGCAAAAAAAAACCCAAAAAAGCACAATACAAAAAATTAAGCAAAAAGAGGAACTAACATATTAAAAGAGAAACTCTGACTCACTAGTGAGACAGATCCCTACTCAACAATTTGATAAAATCAATAGTTCAGCAAAACTGTGTTAGTGCAGTGTAAAAAAATGGTAACTCTTAACTACTTGTTTTACAGAATATGATCATATCTAGTAAATTTGAAACTACACATATCAGCCTCTCAAAAACTATACCTCTAGGTATAGACCCTAGAAAAAATATTTCATATGTGTATATAAGAAGATATTCTTTGTAGGAGTATTTGTAATAGGAAACACTTGGAAAGAAATGCCTATGAGTAAGATAAGCAATAACAATCGGTATACTCTGATGAAAATCTTACAGCTTTGTAATAACAGTTTGTATTTGTGTGAAGTTCAAAAGCAATCAAATGAGAAACATGTTGGTCACGTAGTTTTCAAATCTACAGAGGGACAAAGTGACAAAGCAATTTTTGACAAAGTGAAAGTCGCTCAGTCATGTCCGACTCTTTGCGAACCCATGGACTATACAGTCCATGGAATTCTGTAGGCCAAAATACTGGAGTGGGTAACCTTTCCCTTCTCCAGGAGATCTTTCCAGCCCAGGGATCGAACCCAAGTCTCCCACATTGCAAGTGGATTCTTTACCAGCCGAGCCACAAGGGAAGCCCAAGAAGACTGGAGTGGGTAGCCTTATCCCTTCTCCAGCAGATCTTCCTGATGTAGGAATCGAACTGGGGTCTCATGCATTACAGGCGGATTCTTTACCAACTGCACTATCAGGGAAGCCATACAGAGGAACAGTGGTAAAAAATATATATATACATTTATATATATGTGTGTGTTACGAAGATATTAACGGGTATGTTATACTTGAGTGACCATAGTTAATATCCAATAAAATGTAATTTGCTTAATAACTTCTCCCTAAGTGAATATTTATGTCTGTGTGCTAATAACACTTATATACAATGTACACATGGGTATTCACGAATCCAGTTTTATCCTGAGAATGTTTTAATATACAGCGTTCATGTAGCTAAAATTTTAAAGCATTTAATTTCTAAACTTTATTTTCCCCAGAAATAAAAAATAGTGCTATTTCCCCCGACGTTATATTTTGGAAGGAATTTTGGAAGCTACTCAGTAGATGGCATCATAAAATAAATATTTGTTTTGTTTGTAGTATCTATATAAAATAATTTTTAAATGTGATTTATATTTTGAATATTTATAGAAAATGTTTTTGAGATAAATTAATCCAGAAGTCTGTGTGAGTTGTCAGTAGCTCAAGTCTGTATACTTAAATGGATAGTTTAGAATTATACATGAATATAAAAGGATGTTGCCAGAAAAAAATGGAAGCAGAATCCTAATTGAATTCCTTTTTCAAGATCTGCATCAGTCCCATCAGTCTGCTCCAAAGAAGTAAGTTAAGCAGTAAATTTCCTGTGTCTCAGCAGTTTCAGTGAAACAAGCTTTTAATTTTTCTATCAATTTATTATTGGTAACATCCCCATCACTACACAATTGAAACACAAAGAACTTATAATTATCTGAATTTCAGAAGTTTTCAAACTGGTACCATGAATTTCCTAAAAGCTTAGTGGTATGTATATATGTGTCGGGTGGGCCCCCCTGGTGGCGCAGTGGTAAAGAACCTACCTGCCAACGCAGGAGAGGCCTGGGTCAGGAAGATGCCCTGGAAAAGGAAATGGCAACCCACTCCAGTACTCTTGCCTGGTGGACTACAGTCCTGGCGTTGCAAAGAGGCACATATGACTTTGAAACTAAACAACAACAGAACCATTTTGTCAGGCAAGGGGATGGTATTTGGTAACTTTCTCTCTTGTACGTATTAGGCATCCACCAAGGCTGGTTGGTTGGTTCCATGCTGAGTATATTCCAGTTTTCTGTGATTGCCCAATGAAATGTCATTCTAAGTGTAACTAGTGTATGCATATCTTTATGTATAAGGTGAAATATCATTATTGGTTTTGAGAGTATATAATTCATATGCACTATGAAAGTCCTGGAATTTAAGAGCATTTAGAATTAGACCTTAAAAATCTCACAAAGGAAAGTTTGAGGTTATATAGTCTAAAAATCAAGGCATATTTATTTAAATACATGAAAAGCTGTAATTTTATATCAGGAGAGTTAAGTTGCATTCACCTCTGTGTGCATGTGTAATTCAGTCATTCTGGTACAGAACACATGGTGTTCAGGTCCAGAACAATTAATAGATTTTACTTGCATCTATTTCTAATGTTTCCTTGACAACTACTATAGATGCAGCTATCACCATGGGGATGGTTCTTCTAAATGAAGCGGCAACATCCAAGGGAGATGTTGGAAAAAGACGGAGTAAGTCTCTGTGTTGGTATCGTTGTTAAGTTTGTTTTAGTCAAGCTTCATTTAAATCAAATGGGAGATAGATAAAAGTCCTTTGTAAGCGAACTTCTGAAGAAAGGTTCTGGTTTGAAGACAGCTGCGGTGTTTCTTTTTTCTCTTTCTTGGATGTGTGGTGTGTGCGCAAATATTTAAAAATACATTTCTTCCAAAATGTGATTGGTGATTTTCTGTGGAATTGGGTATTAAAAAGAAGCTGTTATTCACCCTTGTTGGGGGTGGTTTGATGTATCTCTGCTGAAGTTATGGTCTCTTTGGTCATGTCCACCGAACAGGAGGAGGGGGAAAGTTCTAGGGACAGAGTCTTCAGAGGTTCTATAGGCTAATGATATGTCCCCTATGCCACAGAGTCATCTATGCATTCAAGGACTGATTCAGACAGAGAAGTTTGTGCATAAGTGTTGTACCCTGAAGTATTATAATGCCTTCCAACTACCTCCAAAACCTCTTTGAGCTACATTTTGAAAGGGGGCATCTTGTGGTACCATCTTTTTCAGGGTTTTTGCCTTTTCCGGTGATATTGCAAGATGCACAACTCTACCAAGTTTCAGCTTTGTGTCTTAACAAGGTGACTATTTTATCCTTTGACATAACTGTTCCCCTCAGGGAGTTCCAATAAGATAACACATTTTTATGAAGTGTTTATGGCAGGAAGAGGGAAAAACACATATGAAAAATCTTCTGCCCTCAGGAGCACGGGTCAGAGAAGGTCAGAGAGCCTTAAATTCAGCATTTCCTGCCACAGATCTTTCCATAATTGATATAAAGTCCCTATGTGAGTTTATGATTATGCCTTCACAAACCTATAATTAAGATTTTTATCAATATGCTTTGCATTTCTGAACCCTATTAAAATCCAGAATGTATATATGAGGAACATAGACATGTGGAGAAGACTCTCTTTATTAAAAAGTTTAAAATAAAAATCCAGACTTATTTTATTTATGGGAATTTTAGCTATGGTGACATGAATCTAAGTCAGTCATAGTGATTTCTAAATACAATACTTAGGGCTCTTTAGTGTTGAAACATTTTGGATGTAATAAATCTTTTACCCTTGTTTCCCTGATGGCATTTACATACTGTTATAAAGAAACCACAGAAGCAATGAATGTATTACTTTGTTTAGTTAATCATTGTTCAGAATGTCATTTTATGATTTATCATTTGCATCAAGAATGTGGTGTTCTTGGGAGCAACAAGTAGTGTATATATAAGGACAAATTCTTACATGTTCATATATTTATCATACATCCTATGACATTCACATTAAAGTAGTAAGATGGTGTGTAATATACATACAACATCACTTCAGCCCCCACCCACTGCACTTTGTGTGTGTGTGTGTGTGTGTGAGAGAGAGAGTGCACAGGTGAGTGCGTGGGGGAGAGAGGAGGAGTGGGGAATGGGAGATATATTTTGAAATTAGCCCTTCTGATTCCAGTGTGATTTTTATTTTGGATATAATGCGAGTGCTGTGATTACTGTTGCCCAGGTCAGAATGTGTCTGTGCCCTCATAACACTTTGTCCTCACAAGTGTGTTATCTGGGACCGGCTGCAGTAAATGGTTTGTTGGGTCACCACTGACTCCTCCCCGAGTCCTCTTCCTTCCCCATGTGCCTGTACCTCAGCTCCGTCACTTTGCTCCACCACACAGAATCAAGGAAATAGCCTCTGTTTCACTTGATCACATTTTGAGACTCATTTCCCATGGTGCATCTCAAGTGTTCAGTTCAGTTCAGTCGCTCAGTCCTGTCCGACTCTTTGCGACCCCATGGACTGCAGCATGCCAGGCCTCCCTGTCCATCACCAACTCCTGGAGTTTACTCAGACTCATGTCCATTGAATCAGTGTTGCCATCCAACCATCTAATCCTCTGTCGTCCCCTTCTCCTCCTGTCTTCAATCCCTCCCAGCATCAAGGTCTTTTCCAATGAGTTGATTCTTTGCATCAGGTGGCCAAAGTATTGGAGTTTCAGCTTCAGCAGCAGTCCTTCCAATGAATATTCAGGACTCATTTCCTTTAGGATGGACTGGTTGGATCTCCTTGCAGTCCAAGGGACTCTCAAGAATCTTCTCCAGTAGCACAGTTCAAAAGCATCAACTCTTTGGCACTCAGATTTTCTTTACAGTCGAACTCTCACATCCATACATGACTACTGGAAAAACCATAGCCTTGACTAGATGGACTTTTGTTGGCAAAGTAATGTCTCTGCTTTTTAATATGTTGTCTAGATTGGTCATAGCTTTTCTTCCAAGGAACAAGCATCTTTCAATTTCATGGCTATAGTCACCATCATGGTTATCTGGGTCATGATCTTTTTGGTATAGTTGTTCTGTGTAGTCTTGCCACCTGTTCTTAATATTTTCTGCTTCTGTTAGGTCCATACCATTTCTGTCCTTTATTTTGCCCATCTCTGCATGACATGTTCCATTGGTATCTCTTATTTTCTTGAAGAGATCTCTGGACTTTCCCATTCTATTGTTTTCCTCTATTTTTTCCACTGATCACTGAGGAAGGCTTTCTTACCTCTTCTTGCTATTCTTTGGAACTCTGCATTCAGATGGGTATAGCTTTCCTTTTTCCTTTGTCTTTAGCCTCTCTCCTTCTCTCAGCTATTTGTAAAGCCTCCTCAGACAACCATTTTGCCTTTTTGCATTTCTTTTTCTCGGGGATGGTCTTGATCCCTGCCTCCTGTACAATGTCAAGAACCTCCGTCCATAGTTCTTCAGGCACCCTATCAGATCTAATCTCTTGAAATCTATTTCTCACTTCCACTGTATAATCGTAAGGGATTTGATTTAGGTCATACCTGAATGGCCTAGTGGTTTTCCCTACTTTCTTCAGTTTAAGTCTGAATTTGGCAATAAGGAGTTCATGATCGGAGCTGCAGTCTTCTCCTGGTCTTGTTTTTGCTGACTGTACAGAGCTTCTCCATCTTTGGCTGCAAAGAATATAATCAATCTGATTTCAGTATTGACCATCTGGTGATGTCCATGTGTAGAGTCTTCTCTTGCGTTGTTGGAAGAGGATGTTTGCTATGACCAGTGCATTCCCTTGGCAAAATTCTGTTAGCATTTGACCCGCTTCGTTTTGTACTCCAAGGCCAAATTTGCCTGTTACCCCAGGTATCTCTTGATTTCCTAATTTTGCATTCTAGTCCCCTATAATGCAAAGGACATCTTCTTTGGGTGTTAGTTCTAGAAGGTCTTGTAGGTCTTTGTAGAACCATTCAACTTCAGCTTCTTCAGCATTACTGGTCGGGGCATATACTTGGATTACTGTGTTATTGAATGGTTTGCCTTGGAAACAAACAGAGATCATCCTGTCGTGTTGTTTTTGAGATTGCATCCAAGTATTGCATTTCAGACTCTTTTGTTGACTCTGTGGGCTACTCCATTTCTTCTAAGGGATTCTTGTCCACAGTAGTAGAAATAATGGTCATCTGAGTTAAATTCGCCCATTCCAGTCCATTTTAGTTCATTGATTCCTAAAATGTTGAGGTTCACTCTTGCCATCTCCTGTTTGACCACTTCCAATTTGCCTTGATTCATGGACCTAATGTTCCAGATTCCTATGCAATATTGCTCTTTACAACATCAGACTTGACTTTCATCATCAGTCACATCCGCAACTGGGTGTTGTTTTTGCTTTGTCTCCATCTCGTCATTCTTTCTGGAGTTATTTCTCCACTGATCTCCAGTAGCATATTAGCTACTTACTGACCTGGGGTGTTCATCTTTTAGTTTCCTATCTTTTTGCCTTTTCATACTGTAAACAGCAAAGAGAGTGATAAAGTGTTTTACTCAGCTCCTGGAAAAAGACTGAGGAAAGGAAGAAGTGTGTGGTCATGCCACATGTAGGCAGATGTAAAGCAAAGCATCAAGTCACTCATTCTAGGTGCACTAAGATTATTGTAAGCAAAGTTGCTAAGTCAGGTGGCTGGTGTCTGTCTATTTGGGCATTCTATAGTTTCGNGGGGGGGGGATGGTTTTCATTTTTGCAGTATTCAGCAGCTTTTATTTATTTTTTTTGCTTTATTTTCTGCCAAAATTCATTTGAAATTCACCTGTATGTGTGTTATATGATATGAAATGTAACAGAGGCTGCAACTGAATGCTATTAAGTACTTAGGATTTTTCACAATTTGTTCTCAAAACTGAGAGAGTGATATTCCTACAGAGTTGGAGGAAAACTGACTAACCGGGTTCTGGATCATGTTTTGACAATGTCCTAAAAGTCTCCACTGATTTCCAGGATTGTAATTAAAGCTGGTCTAATTTATATGCTAGAATAATTTAAAAATTATAGTTCATCACTATAGAAGCATATAGAATTATTTTATCTCCCTTGTTTTCTTCTGTCTTGACGTGTTTAATCTCTTTTATCTTCCCCTTTCTTTTATAATTAATCATATTAGATAGTCTAGTGTTTTTAAAGAATTCCATAAAACTAATGAAAGGATACAAGTATCATGCATATGTTTTATTCTTAAAAAATATTTAAGTATTTCTTATTAAAAGAACTTATTTACAGAGCAGATTTAGGTAAATTTCCATTTCTCTAAAAATATATTTTCTTTTATTCTAAACATACCTGCATTTAATTGGCTCAGATTTTTAAGCATTTAAGATTTATTTTACTAGTAGCAAATTTAATTAAAAATCTAATAGATATATTTGCATATATTTCATAATATATATTATATTTGATTAGTCATCCACTTTAGAGTAAAATCTTCATAACCATAACAGAAAGGAAAAGAAATGTTCCTGTTGTCAACTTGAGAGGGATACAGTGATGCTGGAAACCTAAATCACAGCCTGGCATATCCTGCTGTAACACACACCACTTGTTCCTTTCTAAGATGAACAGTAATACCTTGACACTATCACCAGCTATTTAGGGTTGGTTTTCCCTCTTTGACTATCACAGAGTCTGTATTTTCTCACACCCCAAGCCTATGTTACTGGCTTTTGGTATGCTGGGATGAACTATCACTTGTAAGTAACAGGCATTTACTGAAGCAATAATCTAGCCAATCATATAAAATTACATTTCTTTGTAACTATTGCATGGCATCTGAAAATAAAAATTACATTGCAGATTCCAATACTGTAGATGTCTCTGCTAATATAGGCAGTGCTTCACAGTGCAGGGGCTGATAATCTCATTTGTGGTTTATCACATTTTCTTGTGTTTTGTTTTGGTCCCTCTGGGAGCATTTTAGTACTTGTAGGTATTCGGTAAGAGAAGAATACCACCCAAAAACTTAGATCAGTCACTTCTTTTTTTTTGTTTTGTTTTCATATTCCAAGTAGTAAATTGTCATTGAGAAGAATGTGGAAAGTAATGATTATCTGGTTTGTGGTACCTGTATGTGCCATGAGCCATTACATGTAAGTATGTGTAATTAACTGAATGTTTTTTAAAAATATACACATTTGGGTTGTGTGTGTCTAGACTGATGGAGGTTTCTGTTTCTTTCTAGTTATTTGTCTCGTGGGATTAGGACTGGTGGTCTTTTTCTTCAGCTTTTTACTTTCAATATTTCGTTCCAAGTACCACGGCTACCCTTACAGGTAATATCATTATACTAATGTGAATGTTTTCATTTTAAACTAATAGAATAAACCAAATTTCATGTTTTTATGTTTCTAACATGTATTTAAGGATTAATATAAAGTAGCTACCTTATTTGCCAAGTAATCTTAAATTCTGTTAAGTTTTTGAGCACCTACTATGTGTTCAGTACAGATTATATGAAGGAGATATATATATATATAAGGCATGGTACCTGCCCTCCTTCGTATATGATAGTTTCATTTTAGATATATGTTGCATGCATATGTATGTATGTGTGTGTGTCTGTGTGTGTGTACATATATGTAATATACACATTATATATATATATATATATATACACACACACAGACACACACACATAACAAAATGACTTTTCAATTTTGTATCAAAAGTTCTTCTTGTTTTGGTTTGCCTATTCATGATTTTTACTTCATTTACAAATTTTTTCTCATATAATCTAGTGATCAGTGTCCAGTAAACTCCATCATATTTTGAATTCTTCAAAGTTTTCGCTTTTTCAAATAAGGAATGGCAACATGAATGGAAAATTAAATGATAAAAGAATCTCTGGTCACTACAAACTGTCATAAAGGAACATCTCCTAAGATTTTCATCATATAGTTTCATAATTGGGGATGGGAAGATGTTGAAAATTCATTCTGAAATATTATAAAAAAATTATTATTCTTACTAAAGCAAAATACAACTGATGTGCCGGATTATAGTTACCCAGGTCATGAGGTAGGAACGGGTTCATTTCTTGACTATTCCTCCCTCAGCTTGTCTCAGAGGAATGAGCATTCCACCTTCTCTAGGGAGTCTTCTCAAAGCTTACCTCATCCTCCTCCCCAGTGAAGAAGTAAAGGTCCCTTTTTTCCGAGATTTTGAGAACTTTCTGTTGAGATAGTAGAGCTCATGATATATTGACAGGAAATAAAATCTCATAATTTACATCTCTCTTGTGGGTGAGTGAGTGAGTGATAATCGCTCTGTAGTGTCCGACTCTTTGTGACCCTGTGGACTGTAGCCTGCCAGGCTCCTGTGTCCATGGAATTCTCCAGAATACTGGAGTGGGCTGCCATTGTGAACTGAGCAATTACTTCAAGAGAATGTTTCTACATAAGTGATGGCAGCCATGTGTAGCTTTATCTGGGGCACAGAACTATTCCCATGATAGAGAGATCTGATTATGGGCTTATTGTGAAGAGTAAAACACTTCAACCCCACCTCTGTATCTTTTCATATGGGCAGAGGCACATTTCCAAGACTTCTCACATCCACTAAAAGTAAACATATTCAAGGAGTAGAAGAAATCTGATCAGATGTGAGTTGTGGGGCCATCTGCCTTTAATCTGGTCTGCAGTATAAAAGAATTTTTTAAAAAACATGAGGTCTGAGGGCAAGACGTGTAATAAGAAAGGCCAAATAAAGTCTCCATTTTCTTGGTTTTTATTCTTGACATTGTCTGGCTATCTCATTTTGGTTTTGAAAATGTGAAATCAGAAGAATCAAGTCCAAGATGAAGTAGGCCCAAGAAAGATGAAGTTTCTATTCTTCTTCTCCCCCACCCTAAGATTGAGGATCATGGTTCTGTATGATTAGAGTCTCAGTTTGACTTGCATGTATTCTGTTAACAAAATCTGTAGAATATTTCTATTTCTCAAGTTTTTACTTAAAAAACACTTCAATTCATTTCAACCTACAGCATTTATGGTGTCAATGAAAGGTAACTAAATTATAAAAAATAAAGTGTAGTAAGTTATGTGATTCTTAAAACCTATTTAGTTGACAGAAAATGGAGGAATGTAAAGAGCAAGTTCCAACTCTCCTTACACATCAGAGTACCTACTCCAACAAGAATCAGTTGGGTTCAGTTCAGTCAGTCAGTCATGTCTGACTCTTTGTGAGCCCATGGACTGCAGCATGCCAGGCCTCCCTGTCCATCACCAACTCCCAGAGTTAACTCAGACTCATGTCCATTGAGTCAATGATGCCATCCAACCATCTCATCCTCTGTCATCCCCTTCTCCTTCTGCCTTTAATTTTTCCCAGCAAGAGGGTCTTTTCAGATGAGTCAGTTCTTTGCATCAGGTGGCCAAAGTATTGGACTTTCAGCTTCAGCATCAGTCCTTCCAATGAATATTCAGGACTGATTTCCTTTAGGATGGACTGGTTGGATCTCCTTGCAGTCCAAGGGACTCTCAAGAATCTTCAACACCACAGTTCAAAAGCATCAATTCATCGCTCAACTTTCTTTACAGTCTACCTCTCACATCCATACATAACTACTGGAAAAACCATAGCTTTGACTAGATGGACATTTGTTGGCAAAATAATGTCTCTGCTTTTTAATATGCTGTCTAGGTTGGTCATAACTTTTATTCCAAGGAGCAAGCATCTTTTAATATCATGGCTGTGGTCACCATCTGCAGTGATTTTGGAGCCCAAGAAGATAAAGCCTGTCACTGTTTGCATTGTTTCCCCATCTATTTGCCATGAAGTGATGGGACCAGATGTCATGATCTTAGTTTTATGAATATTGAGTTTTAAACCAACTTTTTTATCAAGAGTCTTTTTAGTTCTTTTTCACTTTTTGCCATAAGGGTGGTGTCATCTGCATATCTGAGGTTATTGATATTTCTCCAAGCAATCTTGACTGCAGCTTGTGCTTCATGCAGCCTGGCATTTCACATGATGTACTCTGCATATAGGTTAAATAAGCAGGGTGACAATGTACAGCCTTGACATACTCCTTTCCCAATTTGGAGCCAGTCTGTTGTTCCATGTCCTGTTCTAATTGTTGCTTCTTGACCTGCATACAGATTTCTCAGGAAGAAGGTCAAGGCGATCTGGTATTCCCATCTCTTTAAGAATTTTCCATAGTTTGTTGTGACCCACACAGTCAAAGGCTTTGGCACAGTCAATGAAGCAGAAGTAGATGTTTTTCTGGAGCTCTCCTGCTTTTTCTATGATGCAGCGAATGTTGACAATTTGATCTCTGGTTCCTCTGCCTTGTCTAAATCCAGCTTGAACATCTGGAGTTCACGGTGCATGTATTGTTGAAGCCTGGCTTGGAGAATTTTGAGCATTAGTTTGCTAACGTGTAAGATGAGTGCAGCTGTGTGGTAGTTGGAGCATTCTTTGGCATTGCTTTTCTTTGGCATTGCTTTTCTTTGGCATTGCTTTTCTTTGGCATTGCTTTTCCTTGGGATTGGAATGAAAACTGACCTTTTCCAGTCCTGTGGCCTCTGCTGAGTTTTCCAAATTTGGTGGCATATTGAGTGAAACACTTTTACAGCATCATCTTTTAGGATTTGAAATAGCTCAACTGGAATTCCATCACCTCCATTAGCTTTGTTCATAGTGATGCTTCCTAAGGCCCACTTGATTTCACATTCCAGGATGTCTGGCACTAGGTCAGTGATCATGCCATCATGATTATCTGAGTCGTGAAGATCTTTTTTGTACAGTTCTTCTGTGTATTCTTGCCACCTCTTCTTACTATCTTTTGCTTCTGTCAGGTCCATACCATTTCTGTCCTTTATTGTGCCCATCTTTGCATGAAAAGCTCCCTTGGAATCTCTAATTTTCTTGAAGACAATGTCCGATCAGTAATGCTGAAGAAGCTGAAGTTGAATGGTTCTACGAAGACCTACAAGACCTTCTAGAGCTAACACCCCAAAATGAAGTCCTTTTCATTATAGGGGACTGGAATGCTAAAGTAGGAAGTCAAGAAATACCTGGAGTAACAGGCAGATTTGGGCTTGAGTACAGAATGGAGCAGGGCAAAGGCTAATAGAATTTTGCCAAGAGAATGCACTGGTCATAGCAAACACCCTCTTCCAACAGCACAAGAGAAGACTCTACACATGGACATCACCAAATGATCAATACCAAAATCAGATTGATTTTATTCTTTGCAGCCAAAGATGGAGAAGCTCTGTACAGTCAGCAAAAGCAAGACCAGGAGCAGACTGTAGCTCCGATCATGAACTCCTTATTACCAAATTCAGACTTAAATTGAAGAAAGTAGGGAAGACCACTAGGCCATTCAGGTATGACCTAAATCAAATCCCTTACGATTATACAGTGGAAGTGAGAAATAGATTCAAGAGATTAGATCTGATAGAGTGCCTGAAGAACTATGGACGGAGATTCGTGACATTGTACAGGAGGCAGGGATCAAGACCATCTCCAAGAAAGAGAAGTACAAAAAGGCAAAATGGTTGTCTGAGGAGGCCTTACAAATAGCTTTGAAAAGAACAGAAGCAAAAGGCTAAGGAGAAAAGGATATACCCACTGGAATACAGAGTTACAAAGAATAGCAAAAAGAGATAAGAAAGCCTTCCTCAGTGATCAGTGCAAAGAAATAGAGGAAAACAGTACAATGGGAAAGACTAGAGATCTCTTCAAGAAAATTTGAGATACCAAGGGAACATTTTATGCAAAGATGGGCACATAAAAGAGATAAGAAAGCCTTCCTCAGTGATCAGTGCAAAGAAATAGAGGAAAACAGTACAATGGGAAAGACTAGAGATCTCTTCAAGAAAATTTAGGATACCAAGGGAACATTTTATGCAAAGATGGGCACAATCCAACAAGAATAGCATTTCCTATTTAGATGTTCCTGGTCACAATACTTCTCTGATAGAACAAGTAAAGAAAAGTTAAGTTTTACTAGTTCCAAGAATTAATGCTACATTTGACAGCACTGTATTTTGTCATGATATGAAGAGTTTGTACTTTTTCCAAGAAGTAGCTGTCGTTTAGTATTGATTGTATAAAACTGTAATCCTCTGGTCTTTACAAGAGTGGACATGTAAATTACCTGAGAAGCCTTTTAAAATACATATTCTAGGCCTCACCCTAGCTTTTCATAGTGAGCATTTCTGAACCAGAGTATATGCTGGTTTTGTTTCTCTATGAGTGTGACATCCACCATTCTTATTGGGTCACAACCCCACCTCCTTGTCAGGGGCCCATCAGGCTAAATGAG